TGTGCAGTCAAGTTTAGCAAATGCGGAGAATGAGTAAAGAGTTTCTGGTGTTTCTGGTGTTTTGCTTTTTTCCTCGTTTTTTCTAATACATTAGAAGAAACGACAACATTTGTGAAATGGAGATTAGCGAAGTGAGAGAGAGAGAAGGAAGGGAATTTGGAGAAGCGATGATAGTGCGTAAAGAGGAAGTAAGAGAACGTTCGTGAAGGAATGGGTTTATTTGCGATTGGTAGTAAGATTTATATCACAATTTCAATTATAAAGGGGACCAATCTTTTGCACAATTTGAAGGGGCTTTAAGAAAATTTCTTGGATGCCATATTAAATATTTTTTCAGTTTTCTTTCAAGTTCTGTGGAACCGAATTTTGATTAAAAGTTGTGAGAATAAAGTTGTGAGTATTCTATAATTATAAATAGATACACAGCTTAAACTTCACTAGAAATATAAATTTTTATAATGAGTGCTTGTGATTGACGTTCACAATTCCTGGTTAGTCTCGTTTCATTGCATGTTGGTGACGAATTTTTATCGATCAATAATTCGTTAATGGGTGCCAGCATTACAAGAATTTTCCGACTGCTCGTAGTGTTGGCCTCAGCAACAGCAATAACCATTTTGCATCCCGTGAAATACAGAAAGCTTGCCGCCATAATCTTTTAGAGAGTTTTCACAAATTTTTTACTATTACATGGTCGACATCAGGTTTCAATGAAAAAATATACTGCAGATGTGTAAGGTTTTTTTAATACAATGTATTAGAAAATAAGTGACAAAAAAAAGAATTGTTCAATGAAAAATGACTTCTTACATCCAAATTAAAGTATAAAGAGACAATGTCACAATTTTATAGGAATTTTAAATTTATTTGAACCATTGAGGACAACATTAAAATGAAAAGCAGTGTTTTGCGAATTTATCGACTCATTTCGTCACACTGCAAAAGTAATGAAAGAAAGAAAAATGAAAGTGGAAAGAATTCTTTGCAAATGAAATTTTAAGAAAAGTTCAACATCAAAACTGGAAACAAAGCTACGACCAGGGGTGACGAAGAAAAAAGGATGTTTCCATATGTTCTAATACTCATTTTTGGCTCTAGATGATTTTAGAATTGGGGTCAACACCATCTGTACATTTAATTTCATAAATTTAAAAAACTTTACCGAAAGCCTGAATGTTTTGCTGGAAACCTTCGTCGTCTTGAAGTGTTGCGCTAGAATTCATTTTAGATAGCCGAGCAAGATATATCGGGCTTTTAGCAATTTGAGCATCCTCTTCTCTAACCAATTTGTCCAAGGCAAATATTTTGCTGAGAGAAACATCCAGCTTTTCCATGGATATATCTATCTTGAAACAAAATTATCTTTCTTGAAACAAACTGTAAATAAGGTGAAATAAAAAATTACTAGTGGCAGCTACCTTATAGATGAGTACTTACATATATATGAAATTCGTTTTTTTGGAAATAGACAAACAACAAAACAAAATAACCTGAATTTCGTCGAACGTTACAGTTTGGTTTTCGTCATCAACTTTTGCATTAATTTTTCCTTCTACAGTCATATCCATCAAATATCGCGAACAGTGATCTAAGTCGTCAAATTTGCACCTCGATGTTAGTTCCTGTAGCCCGATTGTCTTGTAGATCTAAAACAGGTACGAAGAATTTAAAATTCTCAAGGGGTTCTGATGGGTTATTTTATAATGTAAAAACTGGAATATAGGCCAATTTATTCACATGCTATCATGAAAAAACGATAATGAATTGCCTTAAAACAAGAAAAAAATGATTCGATTACCTTCGTTGTTTTAATTATTTTATCTTCATATAATCGTCGAATGTATCGTTTCACAAGTCCCATGTTTTTGTCCTAGCAAAATAGCATGATTGAGCTCGGGATTTTTAATTTAAATTCTTCCTTATGGAAGAATTTCACAATACTTTTAAAAATAATACGATCAAAATATATAACATCGTTAAAAATTTGTTGTTTCGATTCCACATATCCTATGACGCATGCAGCTGCATTATTTGACCAATCTTCGGCGTACTGTTTTGATTTTGACAATCTATCCAGCTCGACATAGTTGCTGCATTGAGTATGTATAGTACGATTCGTTAATACAGGACGATAAGAAGGAAGGGATTTGATTTTCCCGTATAATACCAACGATAATAAAATAGCTTTCTAAAATGAAATTTCAAAACCCAATAAAAACTCAATTTTAAAAATTCTACAGCTAAAAATATAAGCATTGAACTGAGCTTGCATCATTTACTATAAATCTGATAAGAATGAAGTTACAAAAATTTCGCATTGATGAATATCTACTGAAACTAAATTTAAAGAGTACAAAAGTATAAACTGCCAAGAAATTTTTGCTAAATATCAACGAGAAATTTTCAAATTTATATAATGTCGTATGCATAAATATATTAAACAGTTTAATCGCCAAAGTAAAAAGCATTCAATTCAAAAAAACAAACCTTATACGCCTCAAGGGCGATTGCACTGACTTGTTTAATTGGAACAGAAATAGCACGCTCAAACATATAATATGAATCTTCATAGCGACCTAATGCAGCAAAGATTAGGCCACCATAATACATATATAACAAAACCCATTTGAAAAATTGATCATCTTTACGAATTTTCATCTGAAAAATAATCATATACAGATATCATCAAAAATTTAGGTAAAATCTAATAATCTAATCAAATCGAATTCAATACTAAAAGAAATATTACCTCTTTATGGATTTTAACAACTGGCACTTGAAGATATGGTAAAGTTGGTTCAAATATAAGAGCTTCCAGACATAGATAAAACAGCATTGGTTGAAGAGGTGTTAGGAGATTCGGTTCAAGGAATATATGATCCAATGCTTTGTTCATAATTCGAATACCTGGCTTGAACTGAAAGTGAACAATTTCAATCTATTTTATAAACCATAAGAATATCTTAAAATAACGAGAAAAAATTAAAAATTTTACCATTGAACTTTTACAACAGGCTTCGAAAACTTCTTCAAACATTTCAAAAGCTGAAAAATTAAAGATTTAAAGACATTCGAATTAAAGATTTAATTTAAACCAACAATGAATAAATAACTACAAAAATAAAAAATAATATATAACTCGAATAACAAATTACAAAAAAACATAAAAATAAAATGAAAAAATTACTTAAAAGACTGCAGTGAGATAAAATTTGTTGGCGAAGAAGGAAAGGAGTAATGTGTTCGATTTGTGATAAAATTCTTTCGAGCTGCAATCGTTTAAAAAAATAAAAATTATTAAATCGAAGTCAAGAAATAAACGAATATAAATACCACAATATTTGAATGGAATTATTCGAGCAGTTCAAATATATTTATTTTAAAATTTACATTTTAAAAACATAAAAAGTGATCTGTTAATTTTCCAACGATCCTTCTGACAATCCTCAAAAACTGAATTAAAAATTAATAAGGAGAAAGAGAATAAGAATACAATCAAAAAAGCAACAAAATATTCAAAAAAAAGCCAAAAACCAACCATATCTGCTTCGCGTATAGAGAACGAATTATAAAAATTAAGCAAAGCAAGAAAACTATAAAAAACTAACATTCTCAGGACTTTGACTCTTAATTTTTGCTAATAAAATCGTAATGATGGATATCGTATATGAAGGATCGTTCAATGCATTAAGCATTTCGTCCAAATGAATACTGTTTTCAATTAAAAGTGGTAAAGCGTCTTTATTGTATTCAATTAATGCGTCCCATGATTCTGAAAACGAAAAAATGAAAATGATTAGATTTCTAATTTTCCTGGAAATGAAAGAAATCATTTCCTACTTTTTCCTATTTGCCCCTATTTTTCTCTATTTTCTTCACAGAACTTTAATTTAACCTTTCATTTATTTCTTTAAGCCTCTGGTTTACCTGAAGCAGTATGGTTCATAATATCTTTAATATATTGTTGTGTGAAGTCAGCCATTCCAAATTTTCTGAAAACAGAAATGAATTAAGAACTGAATGAATTAATTGAACGAATAAAATGAATCAACCAGGTTGTTACCTGCACTTTTATTATCAAGTAGTAAAATTCCTCTGATTCGGCTGGTTAAGCGAGCCCTAAATGGTAAGTACTTCTCGAAGGAATTTCTTTTAATAAAGGATAGTTTGCCTGGCGATGAAAAATACTTATACTTTAAAAAATATAACTTAACCAGCTTTTTTTCACTGAGAAATTTTCATTGAACGAATTTGTGATCTTGAAAACCTTTATTAAGAAAAATATATAATGGAAAATACAACCATCACCACAATTACAATTCTATAGAAATAAAACTTATGAATACGAATAATGTTAAATTTTAAATTAACATGAAAAATTTTTCCAAAAAAAATTTTTCCTATTTTTTTCATTGCTGAATTGGTTAAATTATAAAATATCTGGATAAAATTCAAAATAAACACAAAGATTCAACGAAAATAAATAAATGAAACAATCATTCACAAAAACTATTTACCTAAATCCGATTGGTGCTGACAACTTTATCTGGCCCAAAAGACCAGCGGATCGCGCCTAACTGGAAATAGAAAATGCTTTTTTAAAAAAATTTTTCCTAAATTTTTCCTAAAATACTAAATTTTTAACAATAAGAATTTAATATTTTAAGAAATAAAAGTAAGCATATTTTTAATTATGCAAAAATATCTAAGATTCTAGCATCTTCAAATTTCTAAAAAATCACAAAGAAAATTGGCACCAATAGGAAGAATAAATAAAAGAAAAGCATTAAAAATAAAAATATTGAATTCGAATATTGAAAAATAATAAATACTAAATAAAAGAAAAAAAAAAGCAGAACAAATGTTTTCATCGAAATTCATAAGAAACCTAGACAGGAAACAGGTAATAATAGATAATAGGAAAAATAAATTTTAAAATATAGCAAAAAATTATTGATACGAAGCTGTTCAATCGAAAACATCCACCTCGAATAAAAGATTTAAGAATTTTTCTGTGGAATTTTAATGACAACCTGAAAGCAGATTGCAGGATTAGATTTCCCGGATAATAGGAAAAAAAGAATGTGCCAATTATTTCAAAAAATTTAATAAAATCTAACAGTTTTAACTTCTGTATAAACTTCCAGTCCATATTCACCAAGCTCACGACCAATACCTGAAATAACTAATACACTGAGATGTAAGAAGAAAAACTCTATGGATTTCCGTTAACTCGTTAAATAATCCACTGGAATTAAAAGAATAGAAAAACTCTACCCGATGATTTGTATCCACCAAACGGTGCAGCTGCATCAAAGACATTATAACAATTCACCCTGAATGACAATATACAATTAACGAACAAGATTTCCAGATTTTTTGCGAAAAATAAGAAGCAGTATACCATTACTTCTATTTTATTAATAACTAATTAGTTTTTTTCTTAGTAAACAGTAACATCAAAAAAGGCATTAAATTGTACTGTTAAATTCTACCATTTACCTCAACATCTACTCATGGTGTATCTCAGTTTTATTCTCATGGTGGATCGGACAAACAGTATTTCAGTTGTATGATGACCAAGTAGAATTGCCAATTGACAGGAAAACTACCTTTACTATTCAAAAATGTACCGTATTACATATAAATAAATATAAACGATTTGGTCTTTATAATCCTTTTACTAATCGTAACAAACTCAGATGTATATCGAATACACCAGATATTCGCATTGCCTCATGGCGAAGGAAGATAAAAATTAGCGCAAGCGATTCGTGACGTGGCTGCAACATGCCACCGAGAATTTGAAGAAAAACTGCAAAGTGTATACAAAACACGAGAAAAATAGTGGAGTATCCAATTAGTGACAGGTCAACATAAAAGTCCTCCATTTTAAAAAAATGGATTAAAAAGATAACTCTCCGACCATCCCAAAATATAAGATCCCAAAAGCCAACTATTTTAATTTTGTGGTAGGAAGGTAGAGAGAAGGGATATGGGAAAGGACAGAAAGGAACTGATGAAGAGAATAGGGAAACGTTAGGAAGAGGCATTGTCGTGCATCGTCGTCATTGAACAAGCACCAAGCCGCCACTTGGGTGCACTGGTCGCACCAAATATAAATAAATGAATCATTTATATCTTGCGTTTAATATTATGTATAATTTATTTTTATGTGCGTTATTTGTAAATAAATGGTTTATAATTACACAAATTTGAGGGTCAGTACATCCCACATATTTTATCCAACATTTCCCGACAAAATGGAACATTTGGCCGTATAATGAGTGAACGAGAAAATAAAATATCGTGTGGCAAGTAATGCACAAATTCCTGTACGGAGAGAAGCAATTACATAAATAACGATGAGGAAATATATTTATTTTATTTGGAATTCAACGATCTTCCTCTAGAGGCATACTTGTGGATGGATGTAGATCTTGATTTCGATCTTTACTGCAGAATCATGAAGTCTTCAAGAAAACGAAAATTTATTTTTTGATCGTTTAAAACTGAAAAGTTTCTTGTAATATAATAGAAATATAGAAAGCATTCATTTCATCCTTTCTTGAATACAACACAATCTTATATCCTTATTTCCCTCTACACTATGATTCAATTAAATTAATTAAACTGAAGCACTTCAGAAATACTTTATATCTCGCCTCTGCCATAACAGCAATACCAGTAATAAAATTTGAAATTATTAAACAAAATTTCATTTATACAACCTAGACTCGCTCCAAGTTTGACAAATTAAACAAATTATTACGTACACATATGGTTATTTTAAATCATATTCTTCCAAATAATATTATATTAGGTGATATTAGGTTAAATTTGAACCCAACAAGATTTAATGGTCTAATATTATTAAAAGCTATGTGCAAAACTAAATTAAGGACTCATGACTATTTCATTCACATCATTAACTAATGGAATAAGCTGCCGAACGATTTAGTTTGGGTATTCTTGGCTATTTTTAAAAAATGATTAAACAATATAAGCCTGAAATCTTCATCTATCAATATGCGATTATGTTTCAATTATACAGTTCGATTTTTGTTAATCGTTAATTTTCCTTAATTTATGTCATTTCTCTTTATTCCTTTAACTTTTTACATTTCTTTTTTCATATCGATAATTACTTTTCACTTGGCACCTCATTTGTTGTTATTAATAAAAGCACATTGCGCTTTCACCTTGCTTGGTTGATTTTTTTCAAACAAATAATTTCGATGCTACCTATCCGAGTACAATTCGTTTAAATTTAATTAATTTTTTAAAAGATAGAGGAAATGGTCGAAGAGATAAGAAGTGTAATAACAATACAAATTGAACTATTAATTTGCCGTTAACTGAAGTAAAATGAGACTAATGAACCAGATTTTGATATAAATTTTGCCCTTTTTAGATTCTAAAAAAATTGATAAAATTTAAATGAATATTTTATCAGAACAAGAGGGAAATTTTGCCTAAAAATTAATTAAATATGCTAAGAACTAAGCATATTTATATTATAGACTATAAGCGAAAGATATGGCGAAAAAACTGAGGAGATTAAGGTACATAAATCGAAGATAATGAAATTGGCTAACCATACAGTTCCCGCTCTTATGTTATTGGCCACATGGAATGCCTTGTCTATATCGTTAGTCACCACTCCAGCAGCAAGGCCATATATTGTATTATTAGCTTTTTCCACTAGATTTTCCATATCATTAAATCTTATTATCGACATTACAGGCCCAAAAATCTAAAATAAACAAAAAATAAATAAAAATTGAGAAAAAGAATTGAAAGAAAGAAATAGTGATATGGACCTCTTCCTGAGCTATCTGCATTCCTTCCTTGACATTGGCAAATACGGTTGGATGGACAAAGAAACCCTTATCACCAAATCGTTTTCCACCCGTCACTAACTGTGCACCTTCCTTGATACCTAAGTCGACGTAGCTTAAAACTTTTTCCACATGAGTTTCGTCGATCTAAACTTCCTTCTCATAAAACTCGCTTTTCTTCAATTTTATTGGTAAAATCAAAAATAAACGAGAAAAAAAGTTTATTCAGTACTTGAGGTCCTTGCTGAGTTTTCGGATCGAAAGGATTACCAAGCACACTTTTCTCTGCGAATTTCTTTGACTTTTCCACGAATTCATCATAAATTTTTGCTTCAACAAAAGTACGTGAACCAGCGCAACAACATTGCCCTTGGTTAAAAAATAGTGCTGAATGAGCTACTTTTACAGCTTCATCCACTAAAATTGATTTTAATAGAAATTTTTTTAATTTAATACTTATTTTGCGAAATATAAAATTATCAAAATATTATACTCAATATTATTACAAATATTATGTAAAACATACAATCTGCATCTGCGAAAATAATGATTGGACTTTTTCCTCCAAGTTCCAGTGTAACTCTGAAAAAAAGAACTCCAGATAAATGACTAGTAAAATATGAACACTAATAGACGGAAAACAAATTCGAGAGTTTTGTGCTTAAAATATCATTATGTAATATGAACATTGTAGCTTGAACCCTATTTATCCACTATGACAGGAGTAAAATTTTGAAAAACCATAGATTCATTGGCGTGGACTCATCTATACTTTTGTCCATTAAAAAATTTTTTGACAAAATTATCTTATTTCCAATACGCGCAGCGAGATTAAGATATGATGCTCACCATTTTATTTCAATGCGATGATCAACAAATTGTAATTTTAGAAACTAATAAAAAATTAAAAACCATACCTTACTTTATAAAAAAAAGGCTAATACTAAAAAAATTCCAATAAAATATGTGGAACCCCTTAATATTAGATCCAGCAGCAGTAGCCATAACTAGCTTTCCCACATCAGTCGAACCAGTGAAAGCAATTTTGTCGATATCTGGATGTGCAGCAATAGCATGCCCAGCCGATGGGCCAAGCCCAGGCACTATATTCACGACGCCTTCTGGAAAACCAGCCTGAAAAATTAAAAAAAATTTAATTTTTGTTTCTTTTTCTATTAAAAACTAAAAGAAAACGAAAAATATTCTTAGAAATAGCTTTAAATACCATCTGCTGCCACATCTGCTGCGAATAAAAGGATTTAAAAAGATTACCTCAACAATTAATGAAGCAACGTGTAAAGCTGTTAGAGGTGTCTGTTCAGCAGGTTTCAAGACGACGGTGTTACCCACTGATAATGCAGGGCCAAGTTTCCAAGTTAACATTAACAATGGGAAGTTCCACTAGAAAATTTTAGGAACAAAAAATTTAATAGAAAAAGAATTTTTAAAGATTAAGGGAAAAGCAACAGCAGATACCGAGTTAATCAAGAATAATCTATAGCGATTGAGAATCTTTTTTATCCATTCTTATTATAACCAATGCAGACAGAACAGGTAAAATAAAAAGAAATAATCATTCAAGTAAAAAGTAAATGAAATTACAGGAATTATTTGACCAATTACTCCAAATGGTTCATGCCGTGTATAGCAAAAATAGTCACCAGCGATAGGTAGAGTTTTGCCATGAATTTTATCTGCCCAACCAGCATAATGTCTGAAAGTTCCATATAATATCTGAAAATATTTAAAAATTGAAACCTTGAAAAATAAAGATGATGAATAAAGATGATGTAAGCAGAATTTAACTCGCCTTAAGCATTTAATAGACAAACTCAAATCTGCTGTGTATGCCATTGTATATGGCTTGCCATTGTCCAATGTTTCTAAACTCTGCAAATTTACCTACTTTAGTGAAAAAGAAAATTTTCGATGAAAAATTCTTAACTTTCAATAATCTCAGCAAGAAATGACTTGTTCGCAAAAAATGCAAAAAATCACCAATTACAAACGAATTAACGAACTTGATAAAAATTCAAGCGTAAAAACAATTGTAATTTAAATAACAACCTATAGTATAGCAAAAATATGAAAATTTGACTTAAAATTCGACTTAAAAAAAAAGTTGACTAACCGCAAGTAGAATACGATCTCGTTCTATAAGATCCGCTAACTTATATAAAAGATGACCACGACAAGCAGCATCCATACGTCGCCAGGTTGATCCAACTTTGAAAGCTTCTCTTGCAGCCTAAAATATTTAATTAGGATTTAATCAGGATATTCTATACCAAAAAATTCAGTTTGACTTTATCCTCATCAATAATATGCAATAATAACCAGTGCAAAATTAAATAGTAGCTGAAACAACCTAATTTAATATAACTGTATAAAATTTTATAAATAAAGATAACATCTTACTTAATGTTTTGAAGTTATAGGATCGGAGTTTTATTTTATATAATGGCTAAAAACGGGGCAATATATAAAATATTTCTTCATTCGTTTAAATAGATTCGCGATATCTTGATGAGCAAAGGGATGAGTAAAAGCATTATATTTAAGTAAAAGCGGAACGAGCGGAAATAGGATGAGTTATTAGGTTATTGCACAATTCGGAGCGCCGATACTAAGGTTCTATTCCAAATAGCAGTAAACCTGTCCGAAAATCCGGATGATAGTGGCAACTCGCCCATATTTCTATCGTATTTCAAGGGACTCTCTGGCATATTTGCACAAAGCGAAAAGTCAGCGGAGGAAGTTTAATCAGTAATGGTGAAGACTTAAAAAAAAGAAGAGCAGAACGAGTGCTCTGTGTATTTTGATTAAAAAGTTTCTATTTTATTCTATTTTTAAAGGAAGGAAAAAAATAAAATTTGCGAATATTCAGAAACTTTCATTTATGGCAAAAATTAAAGTTTTTCTGATCTCATGTCAATAAATTTTATATTATTTTCTTATTCGAATTTTGATTTTCAGAAATCTGAACACTACCTTAAGGTGCTTCTCATTTGTATACATGTTTTAGATAAATCGTTATCTAGTAGTGCAAGCTCACCACTTTGTCTATCTCCACTGGCTTACATTCAGAAAGTTGCAGGAATGTTATTAAGCGATAGAAGTAAAGATGGGTCACCAGCAAGATTTTCGATGAGAAAAAAATAAAATAAATCATTCAACCTAAATTTTTTAATTAAGATAACTGATAATTGATTATAAGAAATTGCATGTGAACCAGAGAAAATATATAGCCCACTTACAGGTAAACAAATAAGTTAGAGAAAAGATAATATAATAAAGATAAGATAATGGATAATGGATAAGATAATGGATAGAAAGAAAGGAAAGAATAAAAAAAAAGGAAAAAGTGCATCACATCTTATCTACGTAATAGATAAAACTAATGAAATACTTATATGAAATATGAAATATTTATAGAAGATTTTTGAGTTAACCATCAAATTCTTCTTCTAACAAATCTCACCATTACTGACTAGGCTGGCTACAAAGGTAAGACGACTTCAATCTATTCGGTCCGACCCTGACAGTAATAGAAGCCATTCCTTTTTCCATCGTCTAAATCCATATACCGCTGGTCCTCCTATACATCCAAAATCTTTCCTGATTATATCAGACCAGATCTTGATTGGGCCACTGCGCTTTTGATGCCATCCATCATAAAATTTAGCAAAAAAACGAAATACGTGTGAACTCCTGTGGTGGACGACGAAGAACGCGCTCCAATCAGCGAAGACGTTCTGTAATGGCACGGTTAATACAAGTGGTATTTCAGCAAAAGTGGTAATCATATGAAATTTTATCCGCTCGGCGGGCCAGATAAAAATATATCTTAGATATGAGTGGTCAGAAGCAGATAAATTCTTAATATCCTCCACTCTCAATGGCCAAGTTTTGCCGTCATACGGCAAGATCGAGAGAACTCAGATTACCTAGTCGAAGGCTTTCGTAATTTCACGACGAATTCATAAAGATTCATCAAATGGAAGAAAGCATTTCTAGCTGCCATCATCAGAGCTATAATTCCGTCTTTAACTTAGCGATTTGCGATTAGAGTGGATACGAGATAATTAAAAACTAGCGCTTCATCAACCGGCAATAAATTTATGCAAAGAGGTATTTTATCATCTTCTTGTAAATAAGACGAAAAGACTTTAATCCTATTTACATTGATCCTGAGTCCGATTCTCCCTGCAGATGTCTACACATTGTTTAACATTATTTGCATCTCGTCAAAACCGTCAGCAAAAAGAACTACATCATCATAGCGTATTCAAGATCTATGATACTATACTCTGGTCTAATTTGCATATCTCTTGAATGCCGACAAGCGATGACTATTGTCCAGACTATAGCATAATTGAATATCAAAAAAGAAAAATAACACAGCCTTAAAACCACTTATATCGACTCATATGCACACTGTGCCGATGTACGCTGGTAAAATGCCTTATGAGTCGAATGATCTTCTCTGAAATTGAAAATCGATGAAACAAGTGGTGGGTTGGTTGCTGATATTTGAAGCAATGTTCCAAGATGTTCCAACATCTTTTTAACGTGAATATCTAGCACAACTACATCTGAATCCTTCTGTTGGTAGTTCGCAATGCCCTGACCATTACTAGTTAGACTTAGCTGGCTTGTCACACTGGACAAATATGCCAGAGAGTCCCTTGGCAATAAAAGTACAGGCGAGTCGCCAGCATCACCCGGATTTTAGGTTTACTTCTGCGTGGAGTAGAACGTTAGCACCGGGAATCCGAACTTAGCAATAACGCATTGAGTCTACTCAGCATGATGTATCACGGTTAATTTGGTTTTAAAGAACTTTTTCCATTTTATGAGGCGATCCTTAATATTCTTAACAAGCACACCATTACTATCCCGTATTATTTCAAGGACCTGAGTTGCAAATGCTTTATGAAGTCGGAATATTTCCTATTATCGCCTAATCAAGCACCTGTCTCCATTTTTTTTTATAAAGCATATTAATTCTGCAAAAATGATGCAAAATTTAATTTTGCAGAATTTAAGCATAAAATGGTGTATGCTTAAGTCAAATATAGAATATACAGAAAACTGCAAGGGTATCAACTGGATTTACGCAAATTGTTAACTTTTGAGTGGAATATAGCGAATATCTTAAGGCATAAAACAATTAGCAGAAAATTCTCTCTCCGCAGAAAGGAGACATATATCGAAGCAATATTGAAAGACCATATCGCAGCAATACCTATTTATTTCACGCCAGACTGCAGTTGTAATTCTTCAAAGCATCCGATATTCAAGATTTCCTAACATTCGTGCCTTGGCAACCTTTTCAGGCAGCTGGACAGGTTGATTTTCCAAGATATTCCTTTATTTGGAACCAGTATTCATCAGCCGTTCTAGAGATATCACTGATGTTCATTTCATTAAGGTGCTTCAATAATTCGGTTCGAAATGCTCTTACTATCCATGAATCCTTTAGTTTGAGATATTTGAAAGACTCTGGAGGAAGTTGTTTCTTGCGAGTATTGAATTTTATGAGGACCTTGGCTTAGACCATAACATGATCTGGTCCACGGAGGCTACCAGTTCCCGATAGGAACGACTATGTATGGAACTCTTCCAATAGCGACTGAGTAAAATATAACCAATCTGGTTTTTGATTATTCAGAGAGTTCCAGGTGACTACATGTTTTCTAAGATGCGACAGCAAGTATTAATAATAAAAAGTTCATGCTCTTCAGCATAACAAAGGTGTTTCTCATTTCCACCCGGTCTCCAATGCCATATTTGCTAATTATTGAGTTTATCATGATGGCGTCGTGATCTACGCATGCATTCCAGTCCTTGACCCTTTCACTACAGAATCACTTAGGGATATGGTCATAGGTGGATCCCCAGCAACCACCTGGATTTTTCTTATCATCTCCAAGACGAGGACTAAAGGAATGATGGAGCATAAACAAGAAAATAAAGGAATGATGGAGTATAAACAAGAAAATAAAAAATATCAAATATAAAAAACAAAAGTAAACCTTAACAGCAATATTAACATCCTCATGATCAGCTTGCTGTATATCTGCAATTTTAGCGCCAGTCGCTGGATGAAATGTTGCAAAAGTATTTCCATTAACCGAATCACACCATTCATTGTTTATAAATAACTGAAATAGGCCACAGAAACCATGTTACTCAAAAATATTTTTTTCTATTACAAGCAACGTTTTTAATTCATTGAAACTATTATAGGATTATAAAAATAAATTCACCTTTGTATGTATTAAATGTGTTTTGCTGAAATTGGATATCTGTAGCCGTTATTAACTATTATTAAATAGGAAAGTTATGGCAAAAGTAATACGTTAAAACACTGTCGGACCCAGATTATCTGCTAGCACCAGATGCCCAGGTGGGATAGAACAATTCAGTAAAAGCTCACTTCAGACTGCTGATGCTGGAGGCGAGAGTGCCTTCCAGAAATCCGAGTGGTAATGGGACTCTGTACTTCTACCATCAAAATTTCCAGGGTCCGACAAGATAGTGGAGCAAGTCTGACCAAAAATGATACGCAAAAACAAATTAGACTTACCTAATGCTGAGAGGAAACTCTGTATATCGGATAAGGCGCGAGTTAATTAATTTCAAATTATTAAGAAAACCTTCGTATATTTCGGTTGTTCATTCCAAACAGGTAATGGCTGTGGAATCGTTAAACTTCGGCTGAACGACGCTTCGACTGATTTTGCCATACAAAGGTTTCTAATGAGAAAATGACGCATTCCGTCTACGGTTTTTTGATTTTCTTGAACTATTCAAAGTTACAATTTACAATTTCCACAAATATCTTTTTAATTATAGTAAAAAGATTTTGGATAAATTTTGGATCTTTTAGTTGTAATGAAAAACGCTGAATTTTTGCAAAAAAAACAGATTTTAATAAAATTTCAATAACTGCTTTAAATGCCACATGATTCTCGCTTTCGCCAATTAATATAGGAAATGCATTATATTTCAGAGTCGTACTGACAGGCTTCGTACTGATAGGATTCGCAGACAAGCGTAAACTTCTCTTAAAATCCCTGTGCTGGTGACCCATTTGTACTTCTATTGCCAAGCCAAAGGCTGAGACTTTGAAACAAAAATAGACCAACGGAGCCTAAACACAACTGATAAGCCCAAACCAAATATAACATTTTCGCGTGATTCGTGTACAGTTCAATTCAAATTCCACGTACTAAATTGCAGCTATATTTCTATAATGCTGGAGGCGAGAGTGCCTTCCAGAAATCCGAGTGGTAATGGGACTCTGTACTTCTACCATCAAAATTTCCAGGGTCCGACAAGATAGTGGAGCAAGTCTGACCAAAAATGATACGCAAAAACAAATTAGACTTACCTAATGCTGAGAGGAAACTCTGTATATCGGATAAGGCGCGAGTTAATTAATTTCAAATTATTAAGAAAACCTTCGTATATTTCGGTTGTTCATTCCAAACAGGTAATGGCTGTGGAATCGTTAAACTTCGGCTGAACGACGCTTCGACTGATTTTGCCATACAAAGGTTTCTAATGAGAAAATGACGCATTCCGTCTACGGTTTTTTGATTTTCTTGAACTATTCAAAGTTACAATTTACAATTTCCACAAATATCTTTTTAATTATAGTAAAAAGATTTTGGATAAATTTTGGATCTTTTAGTTGTAATGAAAAACGCTGAATTTTTGCAAAAAAAACAGATTTTAATAAAATTTCAATAACTGCTTTAAATGCCACATGATTCTCGCTTTCGCCAATTAATATAGGAAATGCATTATATTTCAGAGTCGTACTGACAGGCTTCGTACTGATAGGATTCGCAGACAAGCGTAAACTTCTCTTAAAATCCCTGTGCTGGTGACCCATTTGTACTTCTATTGCCAAGCCAAAGGCTGAGACTTTGAAACAAAAATAGACCAACGGAGCCTAAACACAACTGATAAGCCCAAACCAAATATAACATTTTCGCGTGATTCGTGTACAGTTCAATTCAAATTCCACGTACTAAATTGCAGCTATATTTCTATAAGGCGGTCGAATTTCGAAATCGTTGCGCAATTTTTACATATCATACAATTGCAATAAACGGAAAGATCGTAAAGATTAAAGATTTTTGATAAATTCTCAAATCTTTGGAGGAGCGATTGTCAATGTCTGTCAAAATAGTAAATGTCATACCTCACGACTTTAGTCGATTTGCTTTTCCTCCAATTTTATTTGAGCAGAAAAAATAAATTTGGAATTCGCCGAGCAGAGACTGTGAGGTCGATGGGAAGCGAGAGGCGAAACCTCGTCGCTGGATCGAGTCAGCTGACTGTTCGCTCATTAACGCCGATGGCTTAGGTCTTCCCAGTGCCGGCCAAAATGTCCGCAACTCCCCAAACACAAACTCCGTAAAGAACGAGGCAGACAACGGTGGGTCTGCGGTGAGTGAGTTGTCGATGTCGATGAATATCGCCATTGCACACCCATTTATGGATTTATTGGAGTTATATAAATGCATCAAACAGATATTTGTTATATTTCTTCTTTTAAGAACAGAACAGAAGAACTTACGTTTCAAGCTTGTCTACCCTAATGACTATTTTCATCGAAGCCCTCTAACCAGCCAGAGAATCACGTGAAGGCTGAAGTATGGATGGGTTCCGAGCAGCATTGTGATTTCGTCGGTTTTTAATGACAACGTTTGTCTAAGAAACCGATAAGCCAAACCTACATTGAACTCAGTCCTAGTATATCAATAGCCAATTCTTTTAATCTTCTTCTTCTAACAACTCTCACCATTACACATAAACTGGTTTCGCTGGCTACAGGGCTAAAATGTCTTCAAGCTGCTCGGTCCGACGTTGACAATGATGAAAGCCATTACTTTTTCCATCGTCTGAGTCCATATATCACTGGTCCTTCTATACGTTCAAAATCTTTCCTGACCGTATCAGTCCGAGTCTTGATTGGCCCTCATCGCTTTTGACGCCAATCATCGCAGGGTTCGGCAAGTAGCGAAATATGTGTCAATTCCTGCGGTGGACGACGAAGAACGTGTCGTAAACCAGCAAAGGCGACACTGTGTGATGATTATAGGTGGTATTTGAGCTAAGATGGACACAATTATGTACGATTTTATCCACTCAATGGATCCGTAAAATATATTTTAGACATGGGTGGTCAAAGGCTGATGGGTTCTTAATATCTTCTACTCTCATTGGCATGTTTCGCAGCCATATAGCAAGATTGAGCGAATTGCAGCTATATGGACGCAGATTTTCGTCTTTATGGTGATTTCGCGATAGGTTTCATCAACATATTTCTTACTGTCGTTATCCGGGTTACAATTTCACTCTTTGCCTAGCCATTTGGGATTAGAGTGGATCCAAGATATTTAATGTCGGGCATTTCCTTAACCGGCAATGAATTGATAAAAATAGGTGTTTTATTCAGCTTGCATATAAGACTGAAACACTTTCCTTTTATTCACATTGTCTCTGAGTCCGATTCTCGCAACAGTTGCTGATGGATGTTTTAGCATTGTTTTCATTTCATGATTACTACTAGTAAAAAGGACTATCAGCGTATTCAAGGCCTATGATGCTATGTTCTGAACTGATTTGCACACCTCTTGTGGACTAACAATTCTTTTCGCAAAAGATTTAAAGAAAATTTTAAAGAAAATCAAAAAATTATAATCATTGGTTTTTAACTGAAAAAAATTTGTAATTTTTCTGGTAAAACTAGAAAATTAGTCGATCACAACGGTAATAAAGTAATAAGAATAATCAAAAGACAAATAGGGAAAATTAGCGAATTGTTCGTGGTAGTCTCAAGTTTGATTTTTGGCTTTTGAAAAGCGAGTATCCCTTATCATGAAAAGTCAAGTTGTGGGGGACCAATTTTGTCCCCGAGGCTCTGGTAATTGCTGTTCGTGCTTGCTGTAGAAAAAGAATAGCTTGTATTTCCATGAATTTTCCCTCTTTTTCAAATAAATCAGAGAGTTTCAGTTCGAATACATTTTGTTCAAATATAGAACCATAAAAAAGTTTATTTAAAAGCTATTGCAAGAAGGCGAAAATCACTTTTAAATACTTTCAATGAATTTATTAGAGTAAGAAAAACTATCAGCATGTTAAAAGTTGTTGTGTCAATGTCCATGATGATGGTGTTCGTAACTATGTGCATGATGCTGCCCTTTGTGCTGACCATGGTGATGATGTCCATCGTCTTGATCATCATGATGATATCCGCTGCTGTGACCCCACTTATTTCCATGTTCTTCACCATCCGAGTGCCCATAACCTTTCTTATAAGCATGTTCCTTTAAATAATCACCACGTCCACCGTAATCATAATTACCCCAGTCACTTTGCGAACCATGAGCTGAACTTTTCTCATAATCACCAATATGTTTATCATTATGACCATGTTCATAGTCATGATCATAGTGATCATCATATTTATGATTATGACCATGTCCATGGTCGTTTTCACCTAAATGTCCGTAACCATGTTCACTGCTCCATTGTGGAAAACGTCCCCACCACCAATCACCTGCAAAAAATTTTCTTTAAAGTCATCATTAACCAATATAGAAACCATCTGATTTAATGATATCCTACCAAGATCACTTGAATAACTTAGATTTCACGAGTTCCAACTTTATGATAGTGATTTATTATGTTGTAATACCTTATGCTGGAACAATGTTGGTACAAATAGATTGGTAGAATTATTCTCTTATTCTAAGTATTGAATTTTTAACATGGTACTACTTATTTATTCCACGATTTATTTTCGCGTTTTATGGTGGAGGCGTCTTACGATTCAATTTTATTCAATAGTTTCTTAAACAAGAGAATTTGTGTCATTGAAAGTAACTGTCACATGTACATTTGACGATAAAATGCTAATCTTTAATGATATGGTCATCGAGTGTTTAAGACGAAAGAAAAATTGAATTGAACTGATAACTGACTGATTAGATTGCCGCCTCAAGCATTGCATTCTGTCGTTAAAAAATTCGGGACGGCAGTGTTTCAAAAATTTCTCAAATGACTTTCTGAAAAGATAATAAAAATCGAAAGACAGTTTACCTGAAGCATTTGACAAACGAAGGGAAATTAAAGCCAGAAGAAGCAATGAGAAAAGCATTCTAATGCAGTTTTGAATGAATTACGTTAGTTTTCGCTTTATATATCTGATTTTTAGCATAGAAAAGAATTCATTTTCAACTAAAATCAAGTTTTCCAACTATTTTATTATATTTTTTTTTAAAAAAATATAAATAAAAATTTATAAACAAGATTGGAAGGAATTTTTAATTGCGTTCGTCACGATAATTAACACTTTTAATAAAAATTACGAAATATTAAATATTGAATATTATGAATAAATTAAATAAATATTTTCGACTTTTGATATGAAATTTTTAGGCGAGCAATTGTCATATGAAGTCGAATTTATCTGTTAATCGCGAATCATGTATCATCAGTGCGCTTTGCTGTTCTCCCCTTCTATCTTTCATCGCCGCTAAATTTAGGTCCATTTCAATCGCCTTTAACCTTTGACCTCACCTCCGTCTCTCAACCTATATTCCCCCCATCACTACACTACTAACACTAATAATTTAGATTATGAATAAAGGCTTCCTTCATCAGTTATCATCAATAAAAACCTTAAAAACGAAGGAAACTGATTCGAGGACATTTAAATTTAAATTACTTCATCTCGTATGGAATTTCTACAATTTTTATTTTTTGTTTTTATTTGTTTTTGTTTATTTTTATAATTTTGTGTTACTCCGAAAATATCGTTTAAATATTCAGTCTTTCTTAAATTTTTACTTATTTGCCAGAATAATTTATTATTTTCGTCAGTTTTAAAATTTATTTTTAAAATAAAAATGGTTTCATTGATGTTTAACAAAAAAAGACAATTATTAATTTAAGTGCAATTAAAAATTGAAAAAATTCAAATGAAAAATACGAAAAAAAATTTACCAATAAAGTTTTGATTTTTATTTTTTGCTGTTTTTCCACAAAAATCTTAAATTTTGCAAAGTTTTTGCATTTGCAAATTTTTTTCATGGAGGCTTTTAAAGAATTTCCGCGTAGAAAGGTCGCAGAATGAATCTTTTAATTCCATTTTCAGATGCACGCGCTTTTACCTACTTTTGAATATATTTTTTTCTTTTTCAAAAGGATCGATTGCAAAACTGATAATTTGCATTGAATGTCTTAGAGCTCGCTTTTCCGTTTATCATGTTGAACCACTGTTAAGGTTTATCCCTTCGTTCTAATTTTGAGCTAATTTTCTTGCAGAGCTTTACTTTTCTACTTTCTATCGTTTTTGTGGAATATTTTGATTATTTGGCGCAAACGATAAAAGTTTTACTCTTGCAAATGATGATTGAGAGAGAAGGAATGACTAAAAGAATTGCATTTTCAGTCTGTCTGCAGATGATTGCGGTGTTTGTATTTGTTGATCGTGTTGCGCTGCTATTTGTCTTTATTTGTACCGCACACGTCGTAAATTTGCTGAAAAATTAATGACTAAATGCAAAACGGCCGTTTCAGCTGCTTCAGATTCTGAGCAACGTTTTTGGATAACGTTGATAAAGTTGGCAGAACATTATAAAATAAGTAAATAGTAAGGCGTATTCGAAGAATAATTAATGAATTTCCGGTAAGAATTTACTATTTACTTCTGCATGGTAAAATTCTTTTGAGGCAAATATTTTTATTTAATTGCAACTGGTTTTCCTTCTGGTTAGTTTTTGTTGGAAACTCGTGTAATGGAAATATTTTAGAAATGGCATCACTGAGATGGAGCTCTTTCACCGTGGAGCTGTTCTCTAGTGCGACCCCGAAAGTTCGAATCATTTTTGTTTTTTCAATGATAAGTCTCTTTTTCTTGGAATAATTCATCGAAAAAATTATATTATAAAAATTTAAAAATTCATTTCTAATATTAACTAATATTCTAATCTAATTTTTTCAAAAAATTTACTTTTATGATTTTCGAAATGAACATACCTAACATAGTGGAAACATTTGTGGTAAACGATAGATGAAACAGTGAAGGAAATTTTCATCACGTTGAGCATAAAAATTTCAGTTATTGACAAATTTAAAAACAATGTTATATCAGAAGCCATTTTATTTAATAATTCTTAATTAATCCTTAAATAATAATAATTCTAATTCTTAATTCTTATATAGAAACCGACAAATCGTTATTATTTTATCTTTTTAACATTCCGAATAAATGAAATTCTATTTATATCAAATATCAAATGTTTCATTATAATTTATTTTTATGATTGTAATTATAAAGGAAAGTATTTAATAAAAAATGGTTTTTGAAATTTTCGATTAAAAGATATTATTCTCTTTTCTATTTTCTTCTACTTTTTCTATTTTTTATAATGTTATTATATTTATTTTTTATCTATATTTATCATTATAAATCAAATTTATTTATTAGGAAAGCGAATTGGTTTAAAAGTTGCAGGTAATATTGCAGGAGAAGCATTGAGGATGCATCGTTATGTTTAATGGTAGAGGAAAAAATGGGATGGCTTGCGCCGAAACTTATCCGAATCCATTACTCTTCGTGATAATGTTTGCTGTGCTTATTCCCACGCGACATTAAAAGATATATTTATCTGTGATAAATTTAGATAGGTTGAATTGTTTGTATAGTTTTCTAATTTCATTTTTGGAATTGCGGAATTCTAGAAAATTGAATCTACGGTGCATCTTATTAATTCATATTCCTATTTGCTTCACTATTTGCTGTTGAATATTCGTTTCTGCTGCTTATTTCACTTTTTATTTACTTTTTCTTTTGTCTCTTATATTCGGTAAACCATTCGCTAAATTATCGCATATTTTGTCTATTCATTTTTTATATGTGTAGTTCATATTATATTTCAAAAAATTTATGCTTTCATATTCTTTATATTGCTTTGGAATCATCTCATGTTCAACTGTGTTCTTTTGACACTCGTCGAAATCCATTTATACTTCTTTATATTTCAATAGCAGTTGTAATTGAAATAAGATAAAATCGAAAAATTTCATCTCAAATAATTTGTAGAAGCATATTGGCGAAAGCTATTGGTTTTTATTTTACATTGGTTGAAACCGCAAAGAGAGGAATTGATTAATACAGTCCTCAATGGCCTACGTTATAGTTGGAGGTGGTATATCAGCTGTTTCTTGCGCACAAGAGCTGCGATCGATTGATGACAGTGCTGAAATAATTGTAATATCAGCTAGTCCTCTTCTAAAAGTTGTCTTCAACTGTGTAAAGGTTTTTCTTATAAGTTTTTAATATTTCGAGAAAAATTAATCTGTATTCGAAGAATTGAAAGTGGTTAAGACTAACTGTGATCAATTTGTGAGATTGGTCAACTTACACAATCGTTCGATATAAAAGAGAACGTGGCCTCTGAAGCTTTTGCTGGAATGAATATTAAAGTTGTGAGAGGGAAAGTAACGAAGTGGCACCCTTCACGTAAGGTAAGTGATATTAAAGATTGTCGATTTGTCAATGCAAAAAAATTATAAATGAATGAAATATGAATTATGAATGAAATAAAGAATATGAATTATAACCACTTTAGCGATGCCATAAGTGTAGTGGCAAAATAGTAAATAAAAAATCTTTTTTGAATCAGAATTTTTTTATAGGTTGTTATTCTTGCCAACGGAGAGGAAATTGGTTATACCAAATTGTGTATTGCCACAGGTGGTCGACCAAAGGTGCACCACTTTTATTGTTAAATTTATTAAGTTATATATATATATATATATATATATGAGATGATCGATGGACATTTCTGTAAAACTGTCGTATTAAAATATTATTTCATTCGAGTTTTATAGCCATTTTCATCATATTATTACTACATTCAAAAGTAGTGATATATGTAAGTATTCTTTTCCCGCGTTGTTATTCTCAACTTCAGCTCCTCCACCAAAGGCCTAAAAGTGGTGTCTGAGAGTTTTGTGCGGTATCTTATTCTATTTCTATCAATGTGCTCTTCTGGACAAAGATATCTGATGTCATTCTGATGTTATCCTGTTAGAGTCATTATTCCACCAGATACTTCTAGTGCTTATATCACCATGTATATTCCTGACACTTATTTCCTGACACATAGGAGTATTAGAGATATTCCTACCACCAATGTTTGCTTCTTTTTTTTGTCTACCACAATATTTGGTAGATTGGTGCGTACATGCCTGTCTGGGTGGAAAAGCTCTACAGGATCTTGAACTTATTATCCTCGATTTTCTG